GTGGCTTGCGCCCCCGCCGCCGATGGAGACGGCGGAGTCCGGTGGCGATTGCTTAAGCTTGATGCTTGGCATTGCAATGTCCTCTCCGTCTTCTTCTTCTTCTTCCGGCTTTTTCTTGTATTTTTATTTTCTTTTGTCCTGGATGGGAAGAGCAAGAGACCTCAGGCTGAAGTATAACGGAAATGCCGACGGAGTAAACGAGGTGGTGCCAGAGAGCATGAGAAACCAGTCGTTTATTTCTCCTTTTTCTTTTTTTTTTCTTTTTTTTTTTTTTGTTCCACTTGTCATTACGCACAATTCGGCTGAAATAACAACAAAAAAAATGTGGAAAAAAAAAACACAACTAAAATGTTGTCAATATATATGTGGACGGTGAGGGAAAACTTGGGTGTAGGGTGAATTATGTTATTCAGGTTACAAACTTTTTCCTAGTATGCCCTTTGTGGACGGTGGGGGAAAAAACCGCCACTGGTTGAAGGTCATGGTACCATATCCGACATCCATAGCCGACCTAAGTTACTAGTTGACGGCCCATATGGAGCTCCAGCACAAAACCATACAAGGAATGATGTCTTGCTCCTGATTGGGTTGGGAATCGGAGCAACCCCTTCGATAAGCATCCTCGGGGATCTACTGAGCAATTCAAAAGGACAAACCATCCGGATTTTCCGATTCTCTGGGAGATATAGTTAGACAAAAGATCCAAAGAATTTTCAGATTATAAAAAAAATAGGCCGAAGACGATATCTCAGGTATAACCTCGACTTCAGCAAAAGGAGCGAAAAAGAAAGGAGAAAGAAGAGCTAATGCACATTTCTAGTGTGTCACAAGGGAACCAGGATCCTTTGAATGGTTTAGAGGAATGGAAGAAATATCAGATATCTATTTCCATCAAACATCATTTATAATCTGACCTGTGTGTCTCAGTGTTTCTTCATCTCCTGGAAGAAAAGGGCCAAATTCAAATGCACAACTACCTTACAAGTGTGTATGATGAAGGTGATGCAAAATCAAATCTAACAAAAATGGTCCAGGCTTCGAACAATGCCAAACAGATCTTTGGTCAATCTTGGCTCCTCTACTGTTTCTGAAACGAGATCATCTTTTCAAACAGGCAAGAAGTCATGTTGCAAGACCCACAATTGGAACGAAGTCTTCAGCAGCATCCAAATTCAACAACAGGTAAAAATATCTTTACATGGATGTAAATCAAAGAAGCTACTAGTCCAGAAGATAAGCAGCTCATCATTCTTCTTGGATATTTTAAATTTCCAGAAAGCGGCATCGCCTCAAGCAATCCAATGACACCAATTTCTTCGAAGACAATTAGGAAAACCAAATATCGTTCAAAATTTAAAGAAGAAAAACGAAATGACAAACTGCAGTCACAAAGTCATACATCAAAATGCAACAAACAGATAGTAATCAACTACTGCACTTGCTGATAATTTATTATTGACCCGAGATTTACGAAGCATTGATGAAATCAAGTTGCTGTACCGTGCAGGAGTTCTTTACTGTGGCAAAGGAGCTAAAGAATCTTGCACTACACATGACTCACAAAACAACTACACGGTTTGAGTTCCACAAGGAGCATTTCTAAATCAATACACAAGTTGGATGTATTGCATAGCACGTGAGATTAATAACAGGTATTTTTTCATACCAAGTCTAATGGCTTATCATATACATACACTATGGCTATGCCACAACCACCCGGTCCACCCATGTGTATAGCTTGCCAAAGGGCAGGGAAGAACGATATAAATCATTATACGAATAATATGCATATATATATACACACACATATAACATATATCTTTTAGACGTCCACAACATAACATTCACAAAGAAGACCATGTTTGAAGACGAGTTTAGAAAGATCTTACACTAGTGACAAAGAGGAGGAGAATCGAGAACAGAGTTTAATTGGCTTGACAACAATTAAAAACTTGAGCACCAAGAGCTTGAAAATAAGGATAATTCAGACCTAATCCAACTAGAAGTAGAGCGTTGCAAAAACATAATTGTGCTGTTACCAAAATTGTACTTGAATGCGTCAATCGTCCTTTAATCTTCTCAAAAGTTTCGAAGCCCAACGCTTGACCCGTCTCTTAAGAGTATAGCCCACAAACACTCCAGCAACAAAGAAAATAGCACATAACTTCGAACAGTTCCACAAGGAAATGCCGCTGCCACCAATCATACAGTGATCAGTTGAGAACTACGATAGAAATGTAGTGCGTGTGAAGGAAGAAGCGCAGGGCACAAAACAAGGAAACTAACCACACACACATTCAGGCAAATCCTTGAAAATCAACAAGATTCCGAGTGTCATGTCCAGGACTCTAGGCGTGACTTACACTACTATCATCAACTCTGTTTACAGGTTTAACAACACAGATGTATTCTCGGACGAGGCCTTGGGTTCGTACCATTCGAAGCCCCCTTTTTGTTTGCTCAACATTTTCTCAAGGCAACATTCTATTACTCATTTGCTGCGGAAATTCGGCATCTCAAAAAAACATGGTAAAGCTGAGAAATCCAGTCATCTCCCAGAAAACAACACACTCTCCTTACCCAACATAATAAGACCCATACAAACAAAGCCAAGAGAAACCCATCTATGAACCGATAGCCCAACATCTGAATAAAAGTCATGCTCTTCTAACGGGAAATGTTTTGAAAATTGTGCCGATAAACATCTGTTTCCAAAATTTCTCACTGATGAATGCTTATGGAAGCTGAGATTGTCCAATCTTACAGTTTTTTTCATCAATATAGACGACATTGTTCACATAATCCCAAGTTCCCAAAGCATTGAAATTTCTCAAAAGAATGATAAACTGGAGAAACATAAGCAAATTTACCTCGGAGGTCTGCTGACTAGAGCACGAGATTCGTCGTTTGAAGTCAAATTTCCGGAGCGCGTGTTCTGAATCAGATTATCGGTAAACTCGGAGAGGGGAGACGACGAACTAAAGGTTGATTTCGCGTCTTTAGCTACCTTGCTGTAGAACTTCTGCAAACCCTCCATTTCTGGGCGTTGATCGAAGGTCTAAACGAAGAGTTAGGGTTTCATGCTTTTATGACACGACGAAAAAGTGACTAATGTGACTCGCCGCTAACACAAATTTCACGCATCTTTTCTTAAACAAATTGATTCGGCGAAAAATAAATTATTTAGTTTGATAAATTTATTTTTAAATTTATTTAATATATTATTATAATTATCAAATTCGTAAAATCTGTCATTCTAATTCGATTTGTATATCAATATCGTCAAAAAAAATAATAGTAATTAACAAATTTGAGAACTATAATGAAATATTTTTTTTGTAGTTAACGCAAAACTTTTATAATACTTGAAATACAAAATATATTTTGTGCTAACTGAAAAATAATTGTATTAAATTTCTTTCAAATCCGATTAAATATTGCATTATTGTTTAATTAGCCTCCTAAATTTTATAATTGATTGTATAATAAAATTTTAAAAATTATATGAAATAAAATATGAGATGTAAATATAAAATAAAACAAAACGTTCTATAATTATGATGTGGTAAACAACAAAAATAACGAAACACTCTTGTGGGAACACTCTTGTAACCCAAGTGTTTTAATATTTTATTACATACATGACCTTTAACAAAAAAAAAACAAGAATGACGAAACACGAGCAAGAACCTTAAAATTGGACACAAATCCGATCTAAGGTCCGGTTGTGTACGTCTCACATTACAAGCTTCTCACCCCTTAGAGAAAACTTCGAGCTCTCCGGAATAAATCGGCTAAAGAAAATTGATCAGAAATCGAGAATCTGTAGCCGTTATCCGTCGCTCCCCGATCGGGTGTGAGCAGGAAATATAGACCCAACTGCGTGAGGGGCGGTAGTATCATCCGACTGTCGACCTCATCGCCAATGTACCTAGCTACCGACGTTGATGTCCATGCATCATGATTTAATGGTCACGGTTCCTCCTACGTATACGGTGGAAAGCTTCATCATACCGATCAAAGAATCGGTATGACACGGCCCACGATCAATGCCACATCAAAGTCCCACATTTTCAGTCATCACAGTAAAAAAAGATGGACCGCAATCAATGCCACACCAATATCTCGCATTCCTAATCAAATGAATCAAACATCTGTAGGGTTTAGGGTCCTTTGTGCATTCCAAGAGAAGATGCAGTTCGTCATAAAGTGATGCAGGAATTTGAATTTTGACTGTTTGATATCCTTGGACTTACCCCTTATTCTTCTGGAAATCCAATTTTCCAATAGAAAACGAATAAGTTGAAAAACGATTATTGAAAATCTCGATCAGTTGGTCATTTCAATGGCAGAAATCCATTAGATTATTTCAAAGGATTTTCAATGGAGTTATCCATTAGAAATATTTCAATGGAATCTCACCAGATTATCCGTCAAAATTTTCAACGTATATCCGTTTGAAAGTGATGTTGAATACTTTCAACGAAATTTTCAATGGATTATCTGTTGCAAAACCCATTGAAATATTTCAACAGGCTTTTTCAAAAAATAAGCACTTAGAAAATATATCTCAACATATACCCATCAAAATAGGCAGTTGCAAATATCAACGAATACTCATTTATGTTATTTTTATGTATTTCATATATTTTTCATCTAATAACATATAAAAATATAATTATAAAACTAAAAAATATATGAATGTGTTACCAATATGACTAATGTGATCAGCGTACCATGCGACCAATGTAACCAGATTGATTCAATTTTAGTTTATTTTAGAATTTTTTAGATGTCATCTTTTTTACTTTTGAGTTTAATATATTTTATTGGATTAGGGTTTAGGGTCCGGGTTTAGGGGGAGTGTTATAGATATATATTTTACCAGATTTATTTTTTTGTTGCGCTTGTATAGATTCATGTTTATCTTCTACTTCCTCTTTCTTAGGTAAATTAGTTTTCTATTTTATGCATAAATATGTACGTCTCTGGAACTTGGTGAATAAGAAAAACCTTCTCCACTTTCTCTGTTGACTCAATTTTAGTTTATTTTAGAATTTTTTAGATGTCATTGTGAAACATACTTTGTGATTTAGTTTAAATTTTGAATCACTTATGCTAGTGAGCCCGGTTTAGTAAGAAACATAGTCACCGGAAAGTTTGGCACGTAACCTTTTAATTAGGAATATTTTTTTCTTTTATTCATTTTTTGTTGTTTTTCTTTTAAGTTTTGGATTCACAAGAGAGTTAGATGGTATAGGGCGAAGTAGATGTCATATTCTAAGGGTAGTTGTGATATATTGTATTTCTAATGATGCTGAAAGAGATCCTATATAGAATGTGTTACTTATTAGATTTTTCTCTCTCTCTCTCTCCTTTTTTTTTGGTAAAGTTTGTATTTCATTAATTACTTAAAGCTGCACAAAGTGAAAAAAAAAAAAAACATGAAATGCACGAGTACTAGCCTGATAAAAAACTATCTAATAACGTATGGGAATTTATGTATCATAAGCAAACCACCGACATAAGATCAAGGTGGCGAGTGTCGGGTTTTATCGTACTCAAAGCCGCCACTTTATCTCAGAAATATCTATCAATTTACGTTACAAGGAAAGACAACACAATTTCACAATTATTTGGTTAGAGACTAGAGCCTCAACGTGACTAGTGGATCATGACTTTAGTGTTGCAGCCACAAGGCTAAATACCTAACCTATGTATACCAAGAAGAACGCAATCAGAGTTTTAGAATCAGGGTAGCTCAACCGGTGAAGGGGGAACTCAAGTTGGGGTAGAAAGCGTAATTCCAATCACATGGTTTGCTCACGACCTCGGAATTAGTTTGGATCTCGGCCCAAAACACCCGTTACCCAAAACAAAAAGTTGTAGAATCTTTGGATGTGCAGCCTTGTGGATTTTCCCTGTCCTTGGTTGAAACAAGTGAACTAATGTCGGCAGGCTAAGCAAGAAACTTCGTAAGCCAAAGGGTGTTAGGAGTCTTGTTGGCTTCATGAATATGGACATGAATGATGACAAATGTGTTTTTTGCATTGTGCTACGTGACAAAACAACGATCATTGGACCACACAAACAAAACAATTAGACGGAACAAAAAGATTAGATTAGAAATAAATAAAGAAGATTGATTTCCGCCAAACAAGATGAAGATACAATGTATGGTTTCATAATCTTTTTGTTCCTCTTGTAACGTATGCCCAACTTTTTCCTCCTATATGCTTCTTCTTCTTTTCTTAGACACTTCCCCGTCCGTTTTTCCACATTCTTTAATCATTGACTTGCATCAAATTATATACATATATATATATATATACGCGTGTGTGTGTGATATATAAGAATCGGGAATGGGGTAATTTTATATCCATAATCCGAGGTCGAACGACTCATTCATGGTTTGATTGAAAGTTTGACTTCAATACCATAGAAAAAAGTTTGACCAACATGAAATTTTTTTTATTAGTTTATAGAAACTTTTTTTTGTTCAAACAAATATTAATATTTGAGTCAAGCCTCTAGAATGAGAATATTTTTTTACACGTGTAGACACTTGAAGAAATGATGCTATAAAATAATTTCAGAAGCCATCACTTGAAAATAGCAATGTGGACTTGTCTAAAACTGAATTGGCAAGTTGCTTTCCATTCACTCGCTACTTGAAATAAAAATAAAAACAAAGACATAGAATTATTCTCGTGAAAGGTCTATGGTTGAGTATTCTATGGTTAGTGCGAATCCTGCCAGAAAACGGAAGGGTGGTGACACAAAAAAATCGATGTCAAATTTCCCCCCCACGCAGGATTCGAGAATAATCTCGGGTTTTAAAATTTTCAGGTTAATAGATTGTTTATTTTAGATTAAATGGTTGATTAGCTTTAATCTTTTCTGATATTTACGATTTGTGTATTACGAGTATGGTGGAGTAAAATCTTTGTAAAAGATATGTCGTGAATTGGTTAAATATTAAGGAAAAACTAAAAATTGATCTCAAAACAATCGGGTTATACCTCGAATAAACGAGTGGGTAGACCATTTTTCTAAGTAATAATACTCAGATTTCACAATCAGAGTGTAATTCAAATAAACGGGCCGGTAGTCCACTTTTTCTTAATGACCGTTTGAGTTAAAAGTCGTGAGGGTCAATGAAAACTTTCAAGTTTTCCTATCTTTTCGATACTTTAGTGTTTATAAACACACTAAAGATCATATAATACAAAAAAATATATAAACAAATGGATTTGTGACAAGATTTAAAAGATTTATATAGAAAACTATCGCAAGGGTTTCTATGTTTTCAGATAACCAATGTTCTGTTTAATAATTATCAAAGGGTAAACCGAAATCATTATCGTTTCATTGTACCTCGAAAGTGTATTCCTATAATTCCATTTAACCGATGAGGATGGAATAACGTTTTTAAAAAAGTGTTTGATCACGATTTGAAATCATATACAATTTTTTACTATTTCACCCGTGTTTTGTTAGGTTGAAATTATAATTATCATATTAGATTGAAGTTGTTGTCTTATCGAATACGTAAATGAGTTTACATATACTTAACTTTTACTCACATATATTATCATAATATATATAAATATTTTAAAATATTATTTATGATGTTTTTTCGGATTAATTAAAATATCAAATATTTTTCTCTCCTTCTATTACAATGTGACAAGATTGGATACATTTATTCAGACAGCGGATGATTGTAATTTTGATTATAAAGTGTGCTTGGGATATCACCTCTTTTAGAGAGTAATTCTATATTCAAACAGTTAGGAAAATAAAATTTAATTCACTAAAATCTATTTCCTAATTTAGAGAATTTATAATAAATTATTTATAAATTTAATAACTATTTGATATCAAATAATAGTAAAAAACTAACTAAACATATTTTAAAAATAGTTCATATTGTATATAATAAAATGATATTTTTTTGTTGTCAACTAATCATTCTAAATCGTAATTATTCACAATTGTTACGAAAAATAATATTTTATCAGTCAATACCAATCGCATTAAATCGCTAACAAATGCATCGTAAGCATCCGTAATCGCTGCGATTGTGACCGCGATTCCACCGGCGAAACACCTTACTGACTCCGCAGTCAGAACAGACAATATATTTCTAGTGGCGTAGAATCTTGTCAGCCAGGCGAACATCCATGTGGGGTACATATAATTAGAACATTATTGCATAACAACTATATAATATTTCAAATTTAATTTAATTTTTTAAATAACTTTTTCTATTTTAATGTGAATATTTTTGTAAATAACTTTCTGAAATAATATTTAACTCTAATTGAATATTCGTCCCCAAAAAACAAAATCTCCGACGAATTTTGTGTTCAATTTTATGATGGTTTTCCGACATGAAATATTTAGCGTCTTAAATAACACCCACGTCAGAAAATTATTGGAAAAATGAGGCGAATACAAATAAAATTTTTATTTTCGTATATATAAATCTAGTAACTGGGTTTATAGTTATGAATTATCTTAACCTATATGATTTGAAACAAATAAATTGACGGTCGAATTTTTCAAATCTGGAGAAGATGATGATAATTCGTCGATCATAAAGTTTTAGCGACTTTTTTTCATTATTTAATATATTGTGAAAATTGAACGATTTCCAATTTTGACAAATGATAGAGGCGGTCAAATTACCTATGAATTCACAATTGTGCAATTCCAAATAATTGGAATTTGAAGTACAATTTTTTTGGGATGTGAAGAAACACTTTGGAATTACAGGATACGGAAATTAGATTTATTTAATATTTGTAATGTAAAATAATTTCAATTTTTAGGGATTTAACTTTATAAAAACTTAAATAATAAATTACAATAAAATATAGGCCAGAAAACTTTTGCCTAGATCTATATAGTTCACTAGAATAATCTTTAAAAAAAATAAAAATTACTAGGGTTTTTTCTTTTTTTCTCTAGTTTTTTTTTCGATGAAAAAAAATAATGAACTATAATAACCCTAATTTTATTAGTGTAAAGAGGAAGAACTTCCAATAGTACCCTAATTTTAATTATTTAGTTTGATTTCTTACCGAACCAAATTAATATTAAAACCCAAAAAATAAAATTACATGACATTTATTTCTTACATCTAATTATTATTTTTAGCTTATATAATCATCTCCATCACTATTATTATTATTATTATTATTATTATTAAACAGGACAGGAAATTTGAGTATTCAGCCTATCACAGTGATCACTTTTATTCGACATATTGTTTACTAAAAAATAGATAATTAATTAATTCATTGGATCATATACTATTATTTTAATTTCTGAACCGAGGAGGTTGGTAGAGCTAGAAAGTGTGATAGATAAATATAAAAGCAAAAATTAATAAATCCTCGAAAGAAATAAGATTAAAAAATAAGATTGACCGTTTGAAATGGATCATCATATGATTAAAGAAATAAAAGTCTTCGGCCCATGAAACTCATATATGAGAAATAGCATCTTTCTTATATATATATATATATATATATATATATATATTTCATTTATGGCAATATTTTATTTAACTATACCGCCTCTAGCTCCCCTATAAGAAAAAGTCGTATTTATTTATGGTCGAAAGTAATAAAAATCTGGGAGAAAGTATATATATTTTAATAATTTATATGATATCGCCATTTCGACCGCATTCAGGAGAGGAACACAGAGACCATGATCCACCGGACACCAGTCTTGTTCGAAAAACTCAAAAACTTTTTTTTTTTCACATGTCCGAGAAACTCCGCACAGATCTTACACACATGCGGACCTAGAAATATTTATAATTGGGAGCAATATTAAAAGTAAACTTAATTTTATTAGGGGCATTCAACAATTTTAGTTAGAATTTTATAAATATTTTGAAGAAATTAAAATTTTCTAATTAAAAAGGTGGGAATATGTGACCTCATTATCCTGTAAATAGGTCCACCCATGTACATCCGTATAGTTTCGGGATTTGAATTATAGTTTGTCAAGCCCCCCGAATACATGATCCAATTTAGGATGTTTGGGAGGCAACATTTGATTCCACGATTTTTATGAATGTGAAACTTTATAAAATCAAATGAGAAATAGAATTGTATCAGATATCTGTAAAACAAAAAAGATCCCAACAAAAAGTTGAAATAATCAATGAAAAGTTGAAAACCACTATATTTAATAATGAAAAAAATTTACGCTAACCATTTACCACTTGATTCAATGGTGAACGAAAATTAATCTGAATATGTAAGGTTTAAAAATATCGTTTTATATTTGAACGTCATTCAAAACACCTCGTGTTGATAAAAAAATTTATTGGCGATGTTATCTATTGAAATTATGGAAATATAACTATGGCTTTTATTTAATTTGAATTTTTTTACTAAGAATTAAAATTTTAATCGCATTAAAGAATTCTGCTAAAAAAATTATTTTGTATATACTCAAATTATTTTGATGATCAATTGTAATATATTATAAATTGTAAATAGCGATTTGAAACAAAAGAAAATTTTATTACACCCAATATCCAACCTATATTCTTCGGCATAGTAGATTATATATATATATATATATATGTGTGTGTATATATATTAAAAAAATACATTTACAATCCCACAAAAACTTTATATAATTGTGAATTCAATATATTATTTTTTGGGAAGAAAAATACATCTGTAGCCGACGAGTTTTATTCCATTCAATCGATTTTTTATAATCATATCTTTAATGAATAAATACTCCAAAAATTACTTTCAGAAGTTTTGAACATTCAAATTGTAATCAATTTAATTATGATAAATTAAGTCCGTAAAGTAAATCTTTAATGGATTTTTTTTGCTTTTGCATAATTATGTTTCATAAATATCATTATTATTTTGTAATGTTGGTGATATGATCACCATATGACGTAGTAGCTATAAAAGTAGAAAAAATGGAGAAAATGAATTGTTCAAAAATTTGTTGGTCAATAAATGTTTGATTGAGTTTAAAATTAATTAAATTTATATAAAATAATGAAGAACACCACAACAAAGCATATGTATTTTTTAATATATATAAATGTGAGAGAGTGGTGATTTCAATAAAACCAAATCGAATCAACATCTTTTATTCTTTTTTCTTCGTATTACTTTCTTAATAATAAATTGAGTAAAACCCATAAAAATTTCTAAAACTTATAAAATGGTGGGAAACTAATTGCTAAACTTTTCTTCGACAAATTTATTATCAAACTTTCAAAATATATAATTACAATTCATACTTGCAAAATGTGTCATTATAATTCTCAAACTGATACATCGTTGAGATTTTTTCTGTCAACAATTAGTAAGTTTAGGAATTATAATGACATATTTTCCAAGTTTGGGAATAGATTTGTTAAACGAAAAGTTTAAAAGATTATTTTTCACCATTTATAAAATTTAGAAATTTTTATGGGTTTTACCCTAATAATTTTTTCGGACAGTTCATGTTCATACAGATAATATACACTATCAATAAATTTGTAATAAAATAACATATCCTATCAATAATTTTACCAATTAATCTACAGACCATAACCATATGAGCTTATATTTCTATATAATATACACAAATGGTAGTATAGTCCATTGAAGGTGCTTAGAAATTTAAAACTAGCTCCTCTAACAAGCAAAAGGTCATTGATCAGATCCACGTTTGTGTAGAAATTTCCCAATAATTGCCACCAGTTTTCAGACTGAAGAACCCTTTGGACCGTTCAAACCTTTCAATTTGTCCACATCGCGTGCTTCTGTAAAGCCCTATAAATACATGCACCATTTTCAATGCTCATGCAGAACCAACCGACCTAACGATTTGCGCAATCTCTCTCTCTCTCTCTCTCTCTCTCTCTCTCTCTCTCTCTCTCTCTCTCTCTCTCTCTCTCGTTTATATCCATGCATAGAATCACATGACCATAACCCTTGAACCATACCATAACCTTCTCAAATTCTCTTCCTAAACATCTCTTTAATTTGTCTCCCTAAATATTTTAAACCTATAACCGAAACCCTGAAAGATCTGATCACACAAATTCAGCTTTTGTATATTCTCTTTTCATGGCTGTCAAAGTGGCAAAGTACGAGGAAACCCGTGTCGTTACCGCATCAAGAATCGCTATCATTGGGGCTGGCGTCAGCGGTTTAGCCGCCGCGAGACATCTCTCTCGCCACGACCCGATAGTGTTCGAAGCCTCGGCCTCGATCGGAGGCGTTTGGAGGAGCTGCACTTACGAATCCACGAAGCTTCAATCAGCTCGCATGGACTACGAATTCTCCGACTTCCCGTGGCCCAACAGAGAGGACCCGAGCTTCCCGTCGTACCTTGAGATATTGGACTACTTAGAAGCTTATGCTAAGCAGTTCGATATCCTAAAGTTCGTGAGGTTTAACTCAAAGGTGATTGAAGTGAGATTCGTCGGGGACGCTGAAAAATCATTGGATCTTAGTATCCACGGCGGGAAATTTCCTGGGAAACCTGTCTGGGAAGTTGCCGTTCAGACCATAGATTCCGGAAACATTCAGGTTCGATCCTGTTAAAGATGCTCATATATATATATATATATATATATCATTGTGTTAACAAAACTTATCGATTCTCAAAATAAGAAATTGAGATTTGCTTCAACAAACAACGTAGGTGTGTGATCGTAATTACGTTCACATGCATGCCTGTTGCCTACGTGTTCATGCACACTTCACAGATGCGTGCCCACACCTACGTTTATGCGTTTGTGTTCATGCATATAAAGATTCTCGGCGATATCACTAATTTTAAATTATAACGGATCTACTAACGTCTTCATGCTTAGAGAATCATTTTAGTCTAAATATGAATGCTTCTTAACGTGTACATGCGTAATGCAGTGGTACGCTTTTGAGTATGTGGTCGTGTGTGCCGGAAAATATGGAGACGTGCCACGGATACCGTCGTTTCCAAGCAACAAAGGGCCGGAGATTTTCAAAGGGCAAGTCATGCACGCCATGGATTACTGCAAATTGGACGGAGAAGAAGCTTCCCGACTTCTCAAGGGCAAGAAAGTGGCCGTCATCGGTTTCAAGAAATCCGCCATTGATTTGGCCTTAGAGTGCGCTGTTGCCAATCAAGGTACATTTTATACGGTCTTTCTAATGAACCCAAACAAGGATCTCATCCTAACGGCTAGTTTTTTATTTTCTCCTTTCTTCTAAATATATGGAGGTACACATATTTTTTTATAGTAATTATATATATATATATATAAAAACTATATACGCGTTATTACCATCTATTTTGGGTTTTAGAAGACTGGTCCTCTATTTTAGAAGAAAAATAATGGATACAACATAAACTAATCGGTCCAACGAACGTTGCGTGTCTTTAGTTGGCATCACCAATGCACACTTGCACACTTTAATATGATTTTGACTTATGCATGGATATGCATATTGCAAATTCGGCACACACGCACATCGAGTCAGGATTGGATTATTATTATTATTATTATTATTATTATTATTATTATTATCATTAAATTGATTTAATCCTATATTCCGTTTGAATATTAGCCCACGTCATTCGAACAAACTGATTTATGAAAATCAAACTCGAACAAGTTACACGTTGAACCTTTTTCTATCTAGGTAGCATCTCTTGTAGAAGGGTACGGTCGAAATTAAATAAATAAAGATGAGTCGAATAATTTATATGTTTTTTTTTATGAAAATTTATATGTTAATAAGCACCACGTATAATATATATGTACATACTAAGAAAACAATTTGCAAATAAAAAACAAATGTAGGTGAAGGAGGGGAAGCATGCACAATGGTCGTGAGAACACCGCATTGGGTGGTGCCACATTATTCGGTATGGGGCCTACCGTTCTTCATGTTCTACTCCACGAGAGCTTCTCAGTTTCTCCATGAAAGGCCCAACCAAAGCTCCCTCAGAACACTCCTCTGCCTCCTCTCCTCTCCTCTCGTGCGTCACCATCTCCCTCACATCATCCATATATACATATATACATATATATATATATATTAACACGAAATCCATGATTGAATCGAGAGTGGATTTCATTAGTGCAATTTCGGGGAACCTAGATATCATACATATACTTGTAGATACTCCACGGCATGTCTTTAATGTCTTTTTTTTTTGTTTAACGTGGCAGAGAGCTGCGACTTCCAAGTTCATCGAATCATACATCCTGTGGAAGTTCCCTATGGAAAGATACGGTCTGAAACCGGACCATCCGTTTGAAGAAGACTATGCGTCTTGCCAGATGGCTATCGTGCCGGAGAAATTCTTCGAGGAAGCGGATAAAGGGAAGATTCAGTTCAAGAGAGCTTCGAAATGGTGGTTCTACGAAGACGGGATCGAGTTCGGGGATAACACGAGGCTAGAGGCCGATGTCGTGGTACTGGCGACCGGCTACGATTACAAGAAGAAACTCAAAGCCATTGTTCCCGAACCTTTTCGGAGTTGGCTTGAGTTTCCCTTTGGCGTCATGCCTTTGTATAGGTAAACTACGAAATCCCTCTAATTCCTTTGCATAGGATAACATCTGTATTGCTTTTTTAAATTGAAAAGTAATTGAAAAATACATACAAAAAAAAAATATTCACCATTTGAAGCGATAAAATAGACAGCCTTACCGTCTTGTCGGAATGTCTTTCAGGGGGACGATCCATCCGCTGATACCGAACATGGCATTCGTGGGTTACGTCCAGAGCAACTCGAACCTGCACACGTCCGAGCTGCGGGCCATGTGGCTGAGCCGACTGCTCGACGGGAGATTCAGCCTACCGAGAGAAGAGAAGATGGTGGAAGAGATCTCAAAGGAGATTGAGGTGATGAGGAGAGGGAGTAGGTTCTACAAGAGGCACTGCATCTCAACGTTTAGCATCCAACACGCCGACGACTTGTGCAAAGACATGGGTCTCGACCCTTGGCGCAAGCCCAACTGGGTTCTAGAAGCTGTTAGCCCTTATGGGAGTGAGGACTATAGGCTCAGTGGCGGCACTGTCTAGACATCACCCATGAATCGTACACTCAAACACTTGGTATGAATAAGAGGGTTTACCATAAGTTTATGTCTGTTGTGTTTTAGCCTAAAATAATGGAAAGCAAGGTTCTTATTGAACTTGGGAGAATTCTGTAGCCCTCTCAAAATATATGCACTCTCTTTTAGTTTCTCACAAACGGAAAAAAAAAAAAAAGCACGGCTACTCTGTTTCAGAATTGAAACCAGAAAAATTAAAACTTCACTCTCACAATAACCATATAAAAAAAAAATTTCACCAAATAAAAAACCATATAAAAAACATATATATACACATTACCTACTCATTTATGAATAGGATCACAAACAAAATATAAAGCAATAACATTATCATCAATGGACCTTTTATAGGATCATATCAATCACTAAAAAACAGGTTTTTTGCATGTTGTATCTAATTGTCTATTTTGTGTAACTCATCAATTCAAACCCATAAAAAAATACAATATAAACGCGTTCTGTATAGAAAGATGTTTTATTAGTTTATAGCGGACAAATTGAAAAGATTATACGAATCTCAACAGATGCATCTTAGATGCGTTAGGTTGCGGAAGATGTTTTAGATTGAGGAAACATTCATCATTCATCGGATGGTGCAAATAAGAAAGCATCTTGTTTTTAGGTATATATCCTTATTTTTCTTGTCATACTAAAACCGTTTTTATCTATATTTATGCACCGATATATTTGCTGTTAGGTTTTTTAGAATTCTTAATATGCGATTCATAACTACAAAGAGATCCAAGTTCTAGGGTTCAAGTTACGGAAATAAAAAACAAAAATTTTGTAATAACTCTAGATAGAATAGAAAGAAAAGTTATTTAGTTAAAAATCTTAAATTCTTATATTTACATTGCAAAATTATGTTTTAAAGTCATAAAATAAAATTTATATTAGAATATGAAAAACTATACACTATCACAGTTATATAAAAATTATTATATTTTTAAATTTATCTTTGAAATCTTATTAATTATATTTTTAATAAAAAAACTAAAACTTAATATCTTTAAAATATCTAATTATTATTATTTTTATTAATTTAATAATATGAGTATTTTTTATTAATAAAAATACGGAAAATAATTTAAATTATAAAATTTTAAAATAAAACATAAAAAATAAATCGTATACGATTTAAAAGTATTTCAATTTATTTTTTAAAATTAAATATTTTTCAAAAATATAAATTTTTTCAATTTTATTTAGGCAAAAAATAATTATTGTTATATAGTTTATTTTGTGCAAAACAAAAAAAATATTTTTATAATGAATTTAGAAATTTAAGGTTTTTTTTTATATTTTTTATAATAAATCGTATATGATTATCTATAGTGTAAGTTTTTTTTTTTATAGAAATGTAAAATTTTACTAAAAGTTCATAAAAATCCCATAATTAATAGATTTTATATAAATTATTTCATTTATAAATATAACTTTTTAATATAAATGTTATTGTTTAGAGTTCTTAATAATATAACCCCTAGAAATATGACGTGGTTTTGGAGGTTGGATCCATCATTCATGACCACGGTTTCTGGGATTTTTTTTTTTTTTCATTTTGGAAATTTTGTTGATTTCCGTTTAACTTCGAAGACCACTGGAGTCAACAGATCAGAGTTGTAGATTTGCAGTTTGGCCTAGAGAGAGAAATCTTACGATCTTAGAGAGAGAAGGAAAGATGGCGGAGACTGTGCATTCTCCGATCGTGACTTACGCATCGATGCTATCGCTTCTCGCCTTCTGTCCCCCTTTCGTCATCCTCCTGTAAGCTCCTCTCACGTTCTACCTCGAAATTATTGTCTACTGTCGATTTAAAATAGGGTAACCAAGAGCCCCCAGATCCTTTCTCTGGTCAATTCGTCGGAATCGTAGAATGAGATCTTGAATTGAGCATTTGTTTCAGTGGATGCGTATTTGAGATTATGTACTTTCCATCGAGATATGGAGTGACAGATCGTTGTAATTGATTTTTCTCATGGAAAATATGTATCGCGGGGTACATTTTGCTATGTACATGCATTCTAATTTACTTTTCTCATCGGAAATCTTAAATTGTATCATTTTGGGTACGAGACGACATCGATACGATGTTGTACTTTATTTTTTGTGGTGTTGGATTGATGAATTTCTGATATTTTTTATTAGAAAAATCTGTCTTTTCAGGTCTAAGTTTGAAACTAGATTTCTGATCAGGAGTTGGAGTGCCGAATGTTCTCTTCTTGGTTTCATTAACAGCTAGGCGAAGTTACATTTAGATCTATAGTGTCTTAAATTGGAAAAAAAAACGGCAGGTTTGAAATGGCAAAAATTCTGTTGACACATATTTTCTCCCAACAGACTATAAAATGTCTGATCTTAACTTGGAGAGTCGCTCAGAGCCTCTGGATCTGAAGCTACTGTGTTTTGCATGCAAGGAAAATTGTTTATATCATTCACTTTGTCTACACAGAGTCAGATGATAGGTGTTAAAGGAAAAGGAAAAAGGATTAGAGTATAAGTGTGAAATTGTTTTTTGCATCATGCAGATGGTACACAATGGTTCATCAAAATGGATCTGTTGCCCAAACCTGGAACTTCTTGTGTCAGAATGGACTCCAGGGACTGATCAGGATATGGCCAAGACCCACTATTGTCGCTTGGAAAATAATATTTTGCTATGGAGCATTTGAGGCTGCTCTTCAGCTGCTTCTACCAGGAAAAAGAGTTGAGGGTCCAATTTCTCCTGCAGGAAATAGACCTGTGTACAAGGTATGCCTTATGAATCACCTTCTAAAACTCATATCACAAGTTTATTTATCCAGGAGTTTGATTCATATGGGCTCTGCAATTTTATTCTTCCAGGCAAACGGTGTGCAAGCTTATGCTGTGACACTAGCTACCTATCTCGGCCTATGGTGGTAAGAAAGCCTGTGCCATTTAATGACTTTAATCTGGATTCAAGCTTTATACTTTGATTTGGACAGTGTCCTTTTGACATTTCTGTTTCTGCTGGCATTGTCAGACTACAAGCTTAAATTTTTTGAGAAGATTGAATTAACCTATTCTGGTATCTAAGTGAATCCAACTGCTTTGTATTATTCAGGTTTGGGATATTCAACCCTGCAATTGTCTATGATCATTTGGGAGAAATATTTTCAGCACTAATTTTCGGAAGCTTCATATTTTGTATTTTCTTATACATAAAAGTAGGTATCAATATGATAATACTGTATTTCCATTTTTTTTCCTTACGGTTACAATTAATCTTCTGTATCTTTTCTTGCACTAGGGCCAAATTGCACCTTCGTCCAGTGATTCTGGCTCATGTGGTAACATAATAATTGACTTTTACTGGGTAAGTAAGCATTTTGTTCATCTTGCCACTTCTAGGGCCATCTCCTCATGTTTTTGTTTGCCTCGTTTCTTGACCTTCTGACTTCAATTTTTACTAGCACTCCATGTTTACCATTCCTATGTTTCGATGTCGATGTGATATTGTAGGAATTACTTAATTAGTGTGACAAATGAACTAAATTTCTATTTGAGCACCTGAAAGCTAGTTTTTTCTGAACATGATATTTATTTTCACAAATCATAATGCCACAAACCGGGCTCTAATATTCAAGAACAATATTTTCACATTGTTGTGACGTCTTCCTAGGATAACATATCATCTGTTGTGCATGCTAGATATTTGTTTATTTTTCCTGTTGTGATAGTGCCCCTTTTTTCACAGGGCATGGAGTTGTACCCTCGAATTGGGAAGAACTTCGACATCAAGGTTTTTACCAATTGCAGATTCGGGATGATGTCTTGGGCGGTTCTTGCTGTCACCTACTGCATAAAACAGGTACTTGTTATTCCGTTCTCTTAACTTTTTAAGTACTGAATTCTTCTAACCTAGAATATCTGCATCTTTATTTCAAGAAATGTTGTCTAGATGAGGTTTCGTAAATGCTACATGTCATTCAGGTTTTCTTGAATTTGATTGATTTCTAAACTTGCATCTTGTAACCAAAGAATCTGCCTGATCTCTCTCTAATTTGTAGCTATATTTTTCTAAATCAGTTTGAACTATATGGGAGAGTATCGGATTCAATGCTGGTGAACACCATATTGATGCTGGTGTATGTTACAAAATTTTTCTGGTGGGAAGCTGGTTATTGGAACACAATGGACATTGCACATGATCGAGGTTTGAATGTGCTATGATAATGAAATTAACCACTATCTTGTATGGTACAAGGAAACCAAGCTAGTTCCAGCACAAGACTAGGCCATAGCGTTCTTGCACTTCAGATGTTCTGTTGTTATGAAAAACACAGCAGGCATTTATCAATACTAGTTTTTTACATTTATTTCCCGCTTTAAGCGCACTGAAGCCCTGTTTCCATGTTTTGTTCCTTTTTGTCAGCTGGCTTCTACATCTGCTGGGGTTGTCTGGTGTGGGTCCCCTCTGTGTACACCTCGCCGGGCATGTACCTTGTGAACCACCCTGTGGAACTTGGAGCTCAGGTACAAAATTTTCTCATCTATCGGGAAATAGAGAGGGAGTGATGAGAAGACGTACTTTCCATGTTAATCAAATCTAATCACACAAATTAAGTAGGAAATGATAACAAGTTTAATCCTAAATCCTCAAGCAGTCCTAGAATCTGAATTTCTAGTTTATTTAAATCTCCGAGAGTCGTACCTCAACGTTTCCAGTCTAGAAATTTTCCCTCAAGTTGGAGCATCATATCTTTCATGGCCTACATTCTAACTATGGAGGCCTTAAAATGACATTAATTATACTGTCTGCAACTTGTTGCATGATTGGTGCAAATCGTTCCTTCTTAAAACTTCTCCCTTATAAAGCACCTGTCAATCTCAACATTTTTGCCTGTTATGTAGAACAGGATTATAAGCAACACTGATATTTTAGAAAAATAACTAGTCTATAGGTATGTGATAAGTGTTCCATATCGGAAAAAGAGAGGGATTTGGAGCCAATATATAAGGAGGGTCATACCTCTATTCTTAAGCTAGCTTTTGGGTGGAGTTAGGCCTAAACTATATCAATCGGTATCAGAGCCTAAATCTCTACTTTCCGGTGGGCCTTTGACGGGCCGTTATCCTGCGGACATGCGGTCGACTTGGTGGTTGTGGGACGGTCGGGAGAGGAACTGTCGGGAAAGGAACGGTTGGGGATGGACCGAGAAGCCGCCATCGACCGAAAAATCGCCAACGACCAAGTTTAAGCCTTGACTCCGCCACAAAAGCTAGCTTAAGAGTGGAGGTTTGACCATTCCTTATATATTGGCCCCAAATCCCTCTCTTTTCCCGATGTGGGACACTTATCAATACCGCCCCGTTTAGACAGCGACGTACACGGCGCTGGGGCAAATATGGTCGCTGGCGGCTTCTCGGTCGATGGTGGCTTCTCTGTCCATCCCCGATCGTTCCTCTCCCGACCGTCCCACAACCACCGTGTCGACCGCATGTCCGCAGGAGAACGGCCCGTCAAAGGCCCATCGGAAAGTAGAGAGTTAGGCTCTGATACCAAATTGATAGAACTCACTCATTAATAATGCGCCCAACAAAGTCTCAAAGCTCATGGGTAGAACTCACCCCAAAAGCTAGCTTGTTGGGGAAGGGTGTCCATGGTATTATATTGACTCAATTGTTCTCACATATTTCCGATGTGGGACTCTAACAACACCGTCCCCTTTAGACAGCGACGACCACGGTGCTGGTTGCTTCTCGGTCGCTGGCGGCTACGCACCTTTTGTGCTCCTCTCCCGACCGTCTCACAGCCACCATGTCGACCGCATGTCCGCATGAGAACATCCCATCAAAGGTCCACCGGAAAGTAGAGAGTTAGGCTCTAATACCAATTAATAAGGTTTAGGCTCTAACTCCACCACAAAAGCTAGTTTAAGAGTAGAGGTTTGATCCTTCCTTATATATTGGCCCCAAATCCCTGTCTTTTTCCGATGTGGGACACTTATCAGAGAGTCAAACCTCCCCTTTTAAACTAGCTTTTGGATGGAGTTAGGGCCTAAACTATATCAGTATCTGCACGAACTGTTGTTACCGATGAACTTGGCATTTTACTTGAGCCATCGATTTGGCTTCTTGGTCAACAATATCTTCTTCTTGGCCATCGATTTGGCTACTAAATTATCTCATGGACATTTCTTGTCAGTAATTAATCTCTTGTTCTTGCACCTCCACGCAACTAAATTACCTCCTAGACATTTTTTGTTGTCAACTTTGTCACTAGAAATTAATTACGTCTGTCAGTAACAGACATTGTCAATCTACATCTTTTCCTTTGAAGAGATCTATAACATTTTTTTTCCGTTTTCTGTCCTGTCTACAAGGCGCCCTTCTTTACAAATTATCTTATTTTGTCTGAGTTCTCCTTTTTGAAATTTCTGTCCATTGGGTAAGTGACACTCAAGTTTGCGTTTCTCTTCAACATGGTAAGGTTACGCCATCAATGTAGACTATCAAAATCAAGAGTTTGTCTTTGGCTGATCTTTTTATGAAAAAGGGTGTAATCACATTACCCTTAACGGCATCTTCAGGTTTTGACAAAATTAGTGAATCTTTCTTGGAGTCTTTTGAAGTCTATAAAATGGATTTTTGTTTTTGCATATCTTTTTCCTATACTTCATAGATTTTTCTTCTTTAAATCCACATTTCTAGAATACATTCTTCACATTATGCGAATTCACATGCTCATCAAAGTAGTTGCAATGAACAAAAACCCTTCAATACTGTTTAACTACGGCAATTGGAGAGAGAGTCTCGTAGTAAACAGCTATATGTGTCAAAGTACAGCTTACAGCTGTGAAATGTGGCATGTAATTGGGTGGGCATTTCGGGTTTTGTCAGTTTCGGTTTATTTGGTTTTCAGAAAAATTTACTGAAATGAAATTGAACTGTTTGGTTCAGTATGGTTTCAATTTCTTGTTGAGAAAATGCTCATTTTCTAAAAGGATTTTCATTTTGGTTATAATGATTTTGATGACTTTTTCTATGGCCTGGTTGTGGTGTATCCAGTTTTTGGAAGATTTTACGAAATTGATATCCATTCAGGTTCAGTTTCATGTTATTTGGTTTGGTCGAGTCTGGTCTGGTCCTCTCAAAAGTAGCTTCTTTCTACTTACGAACGTGAAAAGCCTCATGGGTAATGCTAAACTGAATACATTAGCCACTAATGAAATATAGGCACGATATCGATATATATCTTTTGTGCACCTTTCCTGAGAACATGTAAAACTTGAGCCGACTAGAAAAGTCCGAGTCTTAGTTACATGAAAAGTAATTTAACTATCCATCCTTAGAAGAGTCTTGGTGCTGTAAATATTCCTATGAATTTTTCAGACCTTTATTCTATTGCTTCTGCTTGTTTGCTGTTGCATGATATTATTAGTACACAACATTTCTGATATGATTAAGAGCTGTAGAATAGAATCTAATACATTTTATTCCACTCTTTTATGGTTTCTTCATCATGTTTTAGAACATGTTCTTTTCTTTTTGAAAACGGTAATTGATGTTGTTTGGATCTAGTTTTGAATTTTTATTGTCATGGCTGCAGACAAGAGCCATACTAGCATCAATGTGCAAGGGAATACTGGTCACTAGACATGATCGAATTACGGTCTGTTAGAAGAGATTTAAAATAATTTGATCTTTAGGGATTACAAAACATTGTAGCTCTTGTTGTTTCGACGATATTTTCTATTAGATGAGCATTGATAAAGACCACCTAGGTAGAACTTACACCTAAAAACTAGCTTTTAAAGGGCGGGTACCTAAGGGCCTTATATGCCTCCCCCCTTTTTGGTCCATTCTTGCCGCAGTTTGCCTTGGCTTGATGTCCATACAGACTCCTAGTCCCTGAAACATGTTGAGTTTCTTTTCAATTATCGTGTCCAAAATTATTAGTACTGTTGAAATCAGGTTTGGAACTTAAACGTAGAAGTTCAGCACAGTTTGAGCTCCAGATTTATATGTTTTAAAGTGATAAATTCGCGTGACTCTTCTATGATAATTACTTGGTTAGTAAAAGCACCGAACCAAGCTCTTCAAGAAAGATCCTTAGGATCATTCTGAAATATAGTGAGTAGAGTGAAATAAAGACGGAATCCCTGGAAATACCACTAAGGTCAGCCTAGAATGTATCAAAATCCTAGGGTGTGGCATTATGTGTTTATATTTCTAAATAATTCCATATAACCTCCAAAATTTCACAGACTTCTTTCAATATGATTGATAGAGGAGCTTAAGGAATACTTATTGCATGTTAGGGTCATAGCATATTATTTACTCCAGATTTTTAGTTTAACAAACAACCAGTCATGATAGATTTTGGTGCAAGTTATTCGTGAACATAAATTTTATACTTATAATGTTTGGATTAGCCAGGGCAAACAAGCTTTGTTAAATATAGCTGCACCTCATTATTTGACGAACCGCAACTTCTGTAACAGTTGGCAATTTATATTCTGGTGGCGGGCATCCTATGCATTTACGTAAACTATGACTGCGATAGACAAAGGCAGGAGTTCCGGAGGACAAATGGGAAATGTCTTGTTTGGGGCAGACCCCCGACAAAGGTGATTTATGCCCCCCCTCCCCTAACTGAAATACTTGGCTTATTTCTTTCATAATCTGAACACGCTGATTTTGATGTTATTTTTCTTCTGCTTACAGATAGTGGCAACATACACTACAACGTCGGGTGAAACTAAAACCAGTCTTCTTCTAACCTCTGGATGGTAAGTTCTATTTATGTTACAGTACTAACCAGAAATTTAGTACCAAAAGGAGGACGAGTACAATTTCTTGATCTCTTAGGTGTAAGAAACACGGATGAAACTTATAGATGGTTTAGATTGAAACCGAGATATTAGTATGTACACTGCCATCAAACTGTTGCGGAGGCTGATGTTTTTGCTGATGTCTTCCTGCCCAGGTGGGGATTGTCTCGCCACTTCCATTACGTACCCGAGATTCTAAGCGCCTTCTTCTGGACAGTTCCCGCCCTCTTCAATCACGTAAGTTCCGGCATATTGCTAAGATGGTGTTTTACTCTGGAAACTCCTACGTATCTATGTCACTTCAGTATTCCTTTTGTTCTTTGTGGTTGTGTCCAGTTCTTGCCGTATTTCTACGTCATATTTCTGACGATTCTTCTTGTCGACCGGGCCAAGAGAGATGACGACCGATGCCGATCCAAGTGAGCACCGTCGATGACCTTTCCGTTTTGCTGATTCTGATTTTCTGTTTGCTTCATAAATGATTTGGACTAATTATGGCTTCACAGGTACGGCAAGTATTGGAAGCTGTACTGCGAGAAAGTCCGTTCCAGGATTCTTCCAGGAATCTATTGATAAAACCCGTTCTGAGATTTCTTCTTCATTGTCTGGGATAATTATGCGGACAGTTTTTTCTTGGGCTAAAATGGATAGATAACTGATCTTCACTTGTTTGGTAAAATATTTCAGATTTTTCCTTTTTTTCTTCTCAAAATTCTATTTATTAATCGCTGGTCAATTTTGTTTATGTCGAATTGGATTCTATAAAAAATACGTTTAAAATACTACATTTACTTCACACATCATATAATTTATTAAGAAACTTCTTCAAATAATATCTTTATAAATATATTTTCCCATAATGTCTTTATATCATAAATTTATAATTCTTTTCTATCTTTTCTATTTCCTTTCGTTTTTGCATGACTAATTTTTTCTCGAAAACACCATTATTTAGTATAGAAATTATAAATGATAAAAAAATTTAATTAATTGATATAGAACTTAGAAATATATAAATATCATCCAAACCCAATATTTTGAGCATTTAAAGTTTATCTTCGTTCTCTCGCATTTTATTTATATGATATAATATGAATCAAATTGAATGATAATGAAATATATATCAGTATAAATGTTACTGTATATATATATATGTGAGTCAAAGAAGAAATATATACATTTATTTGTAATTTCTCTCTATTATCGTATTTGAAATCTATAATTTGTATTTGAAATATATAAATAGAATTATATAATTTGTTGTCTTTTTATATACAAAATTGTAGAATTTATTGCCTTACATAAAAATTGTTATATCTTTTATAAATAAAATTTATACAATTTGTCCATTGTGATTAATATATTACTAATATGATCAAAATTGAATTTTGAATGGTGTGAAATGACAAGTAAAATGTGGGACAAAATAAGTTTTTTGCAACTTGTTTACAAATTTAAAACGATTACTTTTTAACTAATTTAATACTTATTTACGACTTTATATTTTTGTGAAAAGGTAAAAGATAATTTTGACTAAATTCTATTGAGAGATAATGAATATTTTCAAAAACATGAAAATCTTTCGTCACGAATCTGATATTAAACATTTATGATATTTTTTTAATTTGTATTAAAACATAACTAAATATATAATATACATTTACATGTTATTAAATTTTATTTGAATCATAACTTATAAAATTATAATTTTAAAACAAAATACTTTTTAGATCATATTTCTTAGTTAATTAGAAAATATCAATCATTCAACGAAATCTAGTTAAAATTAACTATTTTTTTAAAAAAAAATTCATAAAAATATAAAATCATAAATAAGGTTTTATTCAGTTATAAAAAATCACTTCAAAATCGTAAACAAATCGTAAAAAACTTGTTTTGTGTTATAATAAGACAACGTCGATCTTGATGGAGTTTTTATTATTTTTCTAATATATTGACTTTTATGTTGAAGTTTAACTATTTAAAATCAATTTATATAGATAATAGTATTTGCCTTATTATAATACAAATCAATTTTCTTGTGATTTGTGTACGACTTTAACGCAACCACATTACGATAAGTCTTAACTCTTTTACGAATTTTTAAATTTATAAAAGTGTAAAAAAACTCTTTAATTTGATGAAATTTCATCGAGAGATGTATAATACTTTTGAAAACATAAATTTTTTTTTATCACAAATGCGGTATTAAACATTTATCACATTTTGTTAAGTTTGTCTTTAAACATAAATAAATATATATTATATAATTACTTATTTTTTGAACAATAATTTAAAGGTATTATAATTTTGAAACAAAATGTTTCGTAGATCATAATTCTTGATTAATTCGAAAATATTCATCATCCATCGACGGAATATTGTCAAAATTAATGTTTTTTACACTACAAACTTTCAAAAGTTGTAATTAAGTCTTAAGATAATCGTACATTAATCGTCGGTCCCTTCACGACTATAGCTCATCCTTGCCATCCATCCCGCTCGTCGCCGTTGCCTTTTACGTTCACCATGCATAGCTTCCCTTTGTACATACCCTTGCATGCGTATTAATTCATGAACTACATATATATAGATGGACGATTTGTATAATCGATATTTGTCTCTCTTTATAGATTATGTATCTCTCTATTGATTGGTTTGTATATTTATAAATCAATATCATACTTAGTATTTTTAAAAAAAAGGATATTAATAAATTTTAAACGTGATTTGGTTGGAGAAAGTTGGCATACATATTAAAATTGATTGTTAATTATTTCATTTTACGTATAAAATATTGCATGTGATACATATTGCGTACTGAATCGTCTCCACGGCTTCTCCATTAAACCTTTCTTCCGCCTCCACCTCCGTCGATCATCGTCGCCGACCAACTTCCACTACTCCATCGACCTCGCCACGTCAGCTCGGTAGTGAGCCCGGATCCCACTCACCATGTAGACCGCGACCCAAGCATGGGTCGACCCTACTGGCCACCACCGCCGCTACATCGACAGCGCGACTTGTTGAACCACCGGTTCACCCGCGGGTCAAAGACCAACGGCCTCTCGAGGACCAGAGCGAAACTGTGCATGGTGGCGGCGACGATGACTAGACGATGGGGAAACAGTCACAGACTGAATGGAAAAGCTACGTGATGGGAAGAAAGGATGACGGTGTAGGAAAGTGACCGGAGGATTCAACGTCAAAGGGGGAGGAAAGGAGTGCCACGTAGCGGAGATCAGGTCGTAGTTGAGGAATTCGAACGCTGATGTTGCCGGCGGTTTTGAATCTGAAATAAAATAACTTGAGAAACAAAATAAAAGACAAAACCGAATGATCTATTGGTAAGACAACATGCAAAATATACTTAGATTCAAACTCAAATATGGAAAAAAATATTCATATGAGCTTTTCGGTTCTCCAGAAGATGTAGTTAGATCAGATATAAAAAGCGAAATAAACAAGAGGAAATTATAAATTTTCTTTTTGAGTAATAAAAAACGAAAGAGAAACAGACAAGAGGAAGTTATAAATTTTTTTATACACGTGTTTTCCTTATCAGATCTGGTTTCATTAAGGGCTTTAGTGTCTTTTCCTGTTAAATGAAGGATAAAAAGGACTTTAGCTAAATCCTTATGCTACCCTAAAGGGGTATTCGTATTTGTGAAGAACCCTGGTCCGTCTCTACATCTCTCGCACTCGAAGCCCGTCTCTCTTACTCTCTTCTCGGCGTGTTTCATTCTTCCGTTGCAGCTCAGGTTCGAAGTTTTAATCCTTACTCCTTTCTACGGCATTCCTCTTCTGGGGTTCGTTCCGTTGCTATGGATTTCTAGGTTTTTAGGTTCCTTGTAAGGCTCTGTTCGATTTCTGTATGTCTTGTATTCAACCGTCGATGAATTTGATAATTGTGTGTTTGTTGGTTTTCGTGTAAACTTGGAATTAGGGAGAGGCTGATTCTGTTTTTATGACTATTTTTCTTGGACGGCAAAAGTGTCGGCCCATAATTGAGTAGCTTATATGTTCGATTATCCAATTTGCCACATTTAATTTTATCTGGAACACTTTGATTTCCTGGATAACGCTGCTCTGTTTCTCTGTCTCTTTGTACTTTTCTGAACGATTTTTGTGTCGGACATGGCTTTACATTTTGATAATCGTGTTCTGAGGAAACATGCATTTAACTTTTGCTTGTCTTTTCGTGCTTTTATTTAATTTCACCTTGAATTTTCAAAGTTTGCAGAAATCTCGCTTTTATCCAGTAATGATAATGTAAAATTATCAATTTTGATGTTCGAGAGAAATTTATATAGTTGGTAATTATCTGTGTGGTTAATCGGAGAAGTGTTGTGATTCTGGGTTCATATTTTGATATGAAATTCATACTTCTCGGAGTTAAATTCTGGTGGCCTTTTAAATCCTATGGTAGCATCAGATATTTTAACGTTGCCCGTGATTTTGTTTCAGTATATTCTGCTTCTCGTGATTCTACATGGAGAGCTTTGCAATGGAGGAGCCAGGGTTTATTCCCGAAGATTTTGGCGAGTGGATGCTCTCTCGGTTATCGCAGTCAAGCCGACCAGATCATCAACATCTATGTGCCATCATTACAGAGCTGTCAAATAGTTTAAAAGAAAAGAATCTACCTCAGACCCCTGTGGCTTTCTATGGCGCCACAGCCAGCTCGCTTGATCATCTCTTGTCTGCTGACGCAGCTCCGCCATCAGTTGTTGTTGAGCCTCATATTTTTATCTTGTCTCTTGTGTTCCCTAGAGTCTCAGCTGCAATACTTAAGAAGGATGGTCTTGCTTTGCGTCTCGTTCGTAGTGTTCTGTGTTTGAGTTCTGCCTCATCAAACTCGTTGGCTTCGGGGTTGAAGTGCTTGTGTCATCTCTTGACAAACGTAGAGCTCCTTAGTGGCAAGGAAGGTCCGGAGTCATACAGTGTGTTGCTTAGTTATGTAATCCATTCAGATGTCAAGGTATTTTACATTTAAAACTTTGTTTCTCTAGCTGTTTATGATGCATTTGATGATGGTATAAGCCTAAAGTGTAATTTGACAATCTTCTTGGTTTGCTAAGTACAGGTGAGAAGGCAAGCACACTTGTGTCTTAGAGATATCTTGCAGAAGACTCATGGAACAAAAGCAATGCAACCCGCTAGCGAAGCAATTGCAAAACTGTTCCAGAAGTATCTTGATCTTGCCGCTAAATCAGAAGCAGAGTCTTCTGAAGGACCTAGGGGGGCACATGAAGTGCTGTATATTCTCGAAGCCTTGAACGAGTGTTTGGCTTTGATGTCAAAGAAGTACATGGCATCTGTGGTTGAGCGCTTCAACACGTTGTTGATGCTGCGTCAACCATTTGTTACCAAGCCAGTGATGGATTCTTTAAATGCAATCTGTCTTCACCCGACCTCTGAACTTCCTGTTGATATATTGATCGAAGTGTTATGTTTTGCCGCTGTTTGGTTCTCAACTGAAGAAACGTCTGCTGATGTCATGACTTTCACATCTCGGCTACTGAAAGTTGGAATGACGAGGATTTTTGCCCTAAACAGGGATCTTTGTGTGGTCAAGCTTCCTGTCGTGTTCAATGGACTAAAAGGTATGCTATTGTATCTGCTTCTTCCTACATCTCGTATCTAATTATTGCATATAAAAAGGAAGGTATAGCATGATTCTGGTTTCCCATGGCATCTGAATTAAGGGGAAACTTTCAAATAAAATGGTGACAAAATGGAATGGACCTTTGGGTTTCTTTTGGCAGACATTCTGGCATCTGAACATGAGGAGGCCATCCACGCAGCTATGGATGCCTTGAAGAGCTTGATACATTCATGTATCGATGAACACTTGATCAGAGAAGGTGTCAACAGAATCCGGAACCCAAACTTGGATGTTAGGAAGTCTACTCCAACGACCATCGAAAAGCTGTGTGCAACTGTTGAGAATTTGCTTGATTACAAGTACAGTGCAGTTTGGGACATGTCTTTTGAAGTAGTTTCAGCCATGTTTGATAAATTAGGTAATTGTTGTTTTGTTTTTGCTTTTGATGTGAAGGCCTGATCGCCAAGATCATAAAATCGGAACAAGTTTTAGGATGTTCCAATTTCTGTTCTTGCTTATGGTTTATTCCTTTTGAGATATCAATCCTGGTATTTTAGGAGTTACATTGATAAAATATTTGTTATGCTGCACAGATACTAATCCTTTTTTTTTGGGTCAATTTTCAGGGGAGCACTCTTCGTATTTTATGAAGAACACACTCAGGAACTTGTCAGATATGCAACATCTTCCTGATGAAGATTTTCCATACAGAAAGCAGGTTAGAATACTACAATCAAACCAGAGCTTAATGACATTCTGTTTCAGAGTTTTATGATGACATACACAGTTTATTAGACTCGTCAATTGCTGCTGTGTCGTAGTTGTGATATTTTTACTAGCATATTCATTTTGTAGGATTTAGTTCGTTTTCGAGATATTTCTATACTCTGCCGTGGTTTCTGGACATAGCATCTAGCCATCTATTAATCAGTATTAGTTGAAGTAAAAATGTGGCTTCAGCGAAGGGGTATATTGTGATCGTATTAAGCTTACAAGATTTAATACTGGAATTTTGTGTTCCGAATTCATGAAAATTATAGATGTCTGCTAAGCTACTTTTATCAGCGTTTTTCTTCCTCTTCATTGTTACCTGGTCTGGTGAATTTCAATTCTATCACATCAACTGTGCCCAAAGTCTTAAATATCTGTACAGATATGTCAAAATCGATCTGTTACCTAATTTATAATTAGACATTTGTTGTTCCATGATTTAATATGTTCTGATGATTTTTGCTTTTTCTCTCGTATTTTGATTCTGTTTATGACTGATACATTGTCATGTATGCGATCTTCAGCTGCACGTGTGTGTAGGATCCGCTCTTGGCGCCTTGGGGCCTGAAACATTTTTGAGCATTTTGCATTTAAACCTGGAGGCTAACGATCTGTCAGAAGTAAATGTTTGGCTCTTTCCAATCCTGAAGCAGTACACTGTTGGAGGACAGTTAAGTTTCTTTACAGAGACTATATTGGGTATGGTTGAAATGATGAGTCAAAAGGCTCAGAAGGTAAAAACTGACTTTGCTTTCTATTGGATGTATTAATCATAATTGCTTTTCATAATATTGATATCTTCTTCCTGTGGCAGCTTAAGCTTCAAGGTCGCCCTACGGCATCAAGAAGTGTGGAGGCTCTCATATATGCGTTGTGGTCGTTATTACCTTCATTTTGTAACTATCCTGTTGATACTGCGGAGAGTTTCAAGGATCTGCAACAAATATTGTGTAGAGTCCTGCAAGAACAGTCTGATATCCGTGGAATCATATGTGCGAGCTTGCATATCCTGGTTCAACAAAATAAGGAAATTACGGAGGGTAGGGAAGTGTCTGTGGATGATGTCTTTCCCGCTACACAACGAGCTATAGCACGTTACACCCCACAGTATGCAGCAAATAATTTGAAGGTTATGCAGTTGCATGCTCCTAGTTTGCTTTCTATTTTGTCAAGAATCTTCCATGAATCTGGAAAAGATGATGGTGGTTCCCTGCAGGTAATTACCAACATATTTAGCTTCTGTTTGGTTAACTATTTTCTGTAAGAGTTATGATATATCGACCATTCGACCGTTATTTACTTGGATCCGAAGAATTACTGTCTTTAGACTTAGCAGCATCGTTGAATTTTGTGGCCTCTCGTGGCCTTGTTTTTTATTCTTTCTCTTGTCTTACTGGTGTAGATTTTACTTGCATTTGGAGGGGATTAGAGTGTAACACGTTTATCTGATAAATTTTTGTTTGTTTTAGTCTGCAATAGGCGACTTGGCTTCCATAGCAGAGAAAAAAGTTGTTACAAACTTACTCTTGAGAACACTGAAGGAGCTTTTGAAGGTTACAAGAGATGCAACAAAGGCTGAAAGCTCTGTTAATCAGATGGAGACCTATGATGCCTCCAAAAGATCTCCATCTGTCTTGAGGTATGGACATCCTACATGTCACTAATTAATTAGATGCTTCGCTTCTTAACCTGATGCTATTATTTGATATATATTTCAGGGCAAGGCTGTTGGATCTGTCAGTTTCTCTTTTACCGGGTTTAGATGCAAATGAGGTAGATGCAGTATTCAGTGCAATAAAGCCTGCTTTACAGGTTTGTAAATTATTGCTTGTGTTGAATGACTTTTTTATTTCTAAATGTTGCCATGATTTTTTCTTCTGGTAGAGAGAAGAAGAGTATGAACCTGTGGTAATTTTTGAACTGCAGGATGGTGAAGGCTTAGTTCAAAAGAAAGCATACAAAGTTCTTTCGATAATCTTGAAGGTATTACTTGTTTTAACTAAGATTTCACAAAGTCAACACCTTCAAGTTGTTTAATTGTCCCAATGTTGTGTTTTGTGCATAGCTGATTATGTGCTTGCATCAGCTAGTTCCAGTGAAGTTATTTTTCAAATATCATCATTGTCATGATATCAATCTTGGTTTTCATTATTGCAGATGTAGCTTTTTATGTTATTTTTGATAATATTGCAGAGAATCATTGCCGACCCCAAGTAAACTTGGGATTCAGCCGATGTTGATTGTAGAGAATCATTATGTGGTAGTTTTAAAATGCTAATCATACTGGTACTGTTGTAATCAATACATATGTTGCTGTTACAGAACTCTGATGGATTTCTTTCATCCCACCTCGAGGAGGTGCTTGCGCTTATGATTGAAGTGTTGCCTTCGTGTCATTTCTCTGCCAAGCACCACAGGCTTGATTGCCTCTACTTCTTGATAGCGCGTGCATCAAGAACTGTAAGAAACTTACCTTTTTTTTTTTTAGTGAAGTCTAGTTTTCACTTAATCTTTGATTTTGCAGATGTCGGTTTTCATATTACGATTGAGTTGTATTTAATATTTTATAAAAGTTATTAGAGAATGAGTGACTGATATTGATCGTTCCTTATTTCTCACGATATCAGGATAATTCAGAGCAGAAAAGGCACAAGATTGTTTGTTCTTTTCTAACAGAAGTTATACTTGCTCTGAAGGAGGTAATACCCGGTGCTTAAAAACTTCTCGCTTAAAACGATGTAGGAGTTTTCTTATGCAAGGAATCTGTGATTTTCATTTGCAGGCTAACAAGAAAACAAGAAATAGAGCCTATGATGTGCTTGTTCAGATCGGTCATGTGTATGGGGATGAGGAAAATGGTGGAAACAGTGAAAATTTGCTTCAGTTCTTCAATATGGTATGCTGATATATTGCTCGTAAATCATTGTAGCAATTTGTTTTTGTTTAGAATGTTGAGTTTTCGTTTTACTTTTCTCAATGTCTTACGTAGGTCATGTTGTATGTGATTTCCTGTCATAGGTGGCTGGTGGAATGGCCGGAGACACTCCTCATATGATTAGCGCTGCTGTTAAGGGCTTAGCTCGTTTGGCATATGAGTTTTCCGAGCTCGTGTGCTCTGCTTACAATTTGCTTCCGTCAACATTTCTTCTCCTCGAAAGAAAAAATAGGGAAATTATAAAAGTCAGTTTATCTCTCTCCCCCATAGAATCCCAATTTCATTCTGCTGTTTGTTGGATGACTCGATGAACAGTTTACCTTTTTCTGAACCTACGAGTAATCTATCTCGTGATGCAGGCAAACCTAGGTTTATTGAAGGTATTAGTAGCTAAATCTCCCGTTGAAGGACTACAAGCACATTTGAAGAGCATGGTGGAAGGATTACTGAAGTGGCAAGACGAAACTAAAAACCATTTTAAGGCCAAGGTAGGTTTGTAAAATCTTTGGTTTCATACAACATTATAGCTATGTTATGCAGTATGGTTGAAATGACATCTCATTTGATTAGTCATTGCTGTTTACTCGTAAATGAGGTTTATTTTGATGTGGCTTGGGCTAATGAAGCTTGGCATAATCCGATATACTACGCATATCTGTCATTTATTGTATCTCGAAATAACAGGTTTTACAAGTTCTCTGGGTTTATCGTTTTCTGTCTGTTTAACAGGTGAAACTTCTACTGGAGATGCTTGTTAGCAAATGTGGTCTGGAAGCTGTGAAGTCTGTGATGCCTGAGGAGCACATGAAGCTCCTCACAAACATACGAAAGGTTGTAGAAACAGTTTAATGTGTGCAAAATTCACTGAAATTTGTGCCTGAATTTTGTTGTATCATATATTTTGGTTTAGCACAGATCAAGGAACGTAAAGGGAAAAAACTCGCAGCGAGTTCTGATGAAAGTAAATCACACTTTTCAAAAGCAACTACGTCCAGGTATTGTTCCCTAATTCGTTTACATTGAGATAATCTGACTCGCATTGATTGGTAATGGAAAATTTGAGCTGTCTTAACAATCTTTCTTGTCTGATTCACGTTCACTAGGGGTAGCCGGTGGAATCATACCAAAATATTTTCTGATTTTGGTGATGATGATGAGGACAGCGATGCTGAGTACATGGGCGTGAAATCACGTCGCTCGTTGCAGAAATCTAAGGCGTTGTCATTAAGGTTGGTTCAACATTTTTGTTTATTCGTTCAAATTCATCATGTGTCAGAACTTTCGCCCTCTGACTAAAATTTATAATGCTCACAGATCGAAGAGGAATCACCACAAGAGCCTTCCTGAAGACCTACTAGATCAGTTAGAAGATGAACCACTCGACTTGCTCGATCGGTCCAAAACAAGATCAGCCCTACGATCATCCGAGCTCCGCAAACGGAAATCTGACTCAGATGAAGAACCAGAATTCGACTCTGAAGGACGATTAATCATCCGGGAAGGAGACAAACCTAGAAAGAAGGCACTATCCGATCCAGACTCGGATGCCAGGAGCGAAGCTGGAAGCCACTTCTCTGCGGGCTCATCAAGGAAGATCCAAAAACGAAGAAAGACATCAGAATCCGGATATGCCTACACGGGCAGTGAGTATGCGAGCAAGAAGGCGAGTGGAGACGTGAAGAGGAAAGATAAGCTTGAGCCATATGCTTATTGGCCATTGGACCGTAAGATGATGAGTCGTAGACCCGAGCAGAGGGCTGCTGCCATCAGGGGCATGTCCAGTGTCGTCAAGCTAACGAAGAAACTGGAAGGGAAGAGTGCTGCGGCAGCTCTCGCCACCTCCAAATTCGCGAAATTCAAAAGGGTTCAGAAGAAATCAACGGGGAAGAAGAAAGCAAACAAGAAGTGAATTTTTGTTCGTATATAGGAACTTAGGTATTTCAACACTCTGGGAGGTTTGATGGACTTATTTTCGGAGTGGAATGTTATGTATGGGATTTTGCCACTTTTTTGGGTTGTTCTGTTCAGAATTCAGAGTTTATTTTGCATCCAAATTATACAAATTCCAAACTGATCCAAAATTAATCCAATTTTTTCGATTTCAGTACTTTGAAACCAAAATAGATTAAAATCGATGACTAGAATGGCTAGTTTTAAACATTCAAATCGAAAACATCTGTCTTGATTTATAAAGTGAAAGCGAACAGCCTTTATCCCAAAATTGTTCAGTGGACCATCACATACACACGTTCATTCAGTGTAATGTACGTTCTAAACAATAGAAGAACACTAAAAAAGTGCTCGTCAATAAGAAGAACCAAAATGACACTGCGAGAAGCACAAAGAACAAATCCCTTGGCGACCAAACTGTCCAACCTTGCTGTCGTCCTCGCAATCCGTTCCCATTTTAAGATTTAGACTGTCCGAAGAAGTTTGCTCAATTCTCTCCTTCTTGTGTTGTCAAAACCTATATCGATATCCTGAACCCAACTGTAACACTGTGGGAGCTTCTTGTATACTCTGCATGACAAAAGCAAGAGTTGGTCATTCCTCGTGCGGGAATACTTGATTGCGGGTCTGTGTAATATTCCTCAAAATATAAATCTGTTGGGTTAAGAGCATATGTTCCTTGGAAACCCTAGGTTCTTCAAATACCAGATCTGGTAATGCACCAATGAATAGCAAAGATTCCATTGAAGGAATGGAAAGTAATCTTGAGGAAATTGCATGCACCTTATACATGCAAGTTGGAGCACAAGCATGGACTTTCACTTCACTTGTAAGGCGTGAAAATGATGGAAGAGTTGTGGCCACCAAACCCGAAAGAATTTGACAAGGCCGCCTTGATGTTCAATCTCTCTTTCTTCGAACCCACCAGTAGTTTCGTGTCCTGGTTCAATTTGTTATGAAACCGTATAAATCACCCGGCAATGCATTAAAGATCTTCGGGGTAATATGAAACTATGTGCCGCATCTACATACCACTCCTTCATCCGGATTCTCAAGGTTGATATTTGGATGAACCCATCCGGTCCGTATTGCCTGTAGAGAACAAAAGATATTAGCATGACATTCAGAAGAACAAGGAACTAAATACGATGCCATTGTTTTCTATCCTTCCATTGAGTACAACTGTGATGCAAATATGGTATTTATACATCGTTTCTAGTCTTATAGATATGGTAATGTCTCATAAAAACATAAAATTCATCACCTGCACGGTAGCGATAGCCTCTACTGCTCCAGCTGCTCCTAGCAAGTGTCCGACCATAGATTTCGTTGAGTTCACCCTTAGCTGCCAAGATTATAACAGAGCTTGTAACGGAATTACAAAAATATCTCGCAAGAATGAATTCTATCAACCAGAGGACCAAAGTTACTTCGGGGTTTTGGCCAAAACAGTGAACAAGGGCTTGGTACTCCTTGAGGTCTCCAGCTGGTGTTGAGGTAGCATGAGCGTTTATATAATTCACATCTTCCCTGGGAATCCCAGCTTGATCTAATGCCTTCTCTATGCACAGAATAACGCCAGCCCCTACGGATATCAAACATCTACTTCATCGACAAGACATGGGTTCAGCTGAAATAACAAAGTCATCTAAAGAAAAAGACTAAGATTATCAGTTTTCAGCAACTAAAGGATGATAATTTCCAAATGCATGCCCCAGGATTACTCGCTAGAATTTCATAGACACAGAAAAACAAAAAAGCAACGAGTCCATCACCGTGGCAATAAAATGAAATGGGGAAACATTTACTACCATCAGGCCGTGGCTCTGTCATGTGATAAGCATCACATGTGAAACTCCCACCACAGAACTCTGCATAGATAGTTGCACCTCTTCTCTGCAAAATCAGAACACAGAGTATCAATATTCTTCCGAAAAAGAAAAAGAAATCAAATGGGTTCAGTGAGAAAGCAAGTTATATAATTAGCACTAGAGAAAATAAATGTTCGGGAAATAACAACAAAAATCTGTTTTCGCATTGGATATGCATGCATGTACCTTGGCATGCTCAAGTTCTTCCAAAAGCAGAACTCCAGCTCCCTCTCCCATCACGAAACCATCACGATTCTGTTTTTGCAGCCAAGATTAGATTTACGAGAAAACAGAGAATTTCAAACATAAAATGCATCTTCTACAACTATTTCTCTTCCAGAATTACTAAGATGTCGGGTAATCCCCACCCCAAAAATTCTAACAGCAGTTTGCAACAAATAGCCATGAAAATTTATGGCCATTCGGTTTCCCACATTTCTAATGTCCACGGGTTTTAGTAAAGAAGATTACAACGGAACAAAAGATTTTGAGACCACATGCAAGTAAAAGTAAAAATGAAGACAGAGAATGCGATATCATTGAAAATTACGCTATCCCAAGGGCGTGAAGCTTTGGTGGGGTCATCGTTCCTCTGCGAAAGAGCCCGACATGCCACAAAACCTCCCAAACCTGCATTGGTACACAAAACATATGATTTTTATGAGATGCAATACAACAACAAATACATTGCCTTAATCCCAAGTTTATTTGGGGTCGGCTACATCAATTCTTCTTTTCCATTCATTTCGTTTTCAGTTATATCCTCCGAAATTTGCAACAACTTCAAGTCATTACTGATAACTCGTTACCAACTAAGCCTAGATGTACCCGTCCCTTGTCTCTTCTATACCTACCTACTATTTCTATTTTCTCTCTAATACTCTCATTTAGAATTCTATCCATTCTTATGTATCCGCATATCCATCGCAACATACTCATCTTGGAAACACTCATTTTGGACACATTTTGTCCTTTCAGCACCCAACATTCGCTACGGGTGTGATAGCAGTACGATAGAATTTCCCTTTCAATCGTATGTAAATTTTATGATCGCAAAGAACCCCGTTGTTTGTCTCCATTTCATCCATCCCGCTTTTATTATATGAATAACACATTCGTCGCAACCCCCAACGTTTTAAAAGATCGAACCACGATATTTAAAGTGCGAGTTTTGTGGGATACAATGTCCAAGAAAAAAGAGAAGCACTGTATACCGGAGAAATAGAACGTACCTATTGGAATAATAACCGAATCAGAACCGCCACATAGCATTACATCCTAAATGTTTTCGTAAAAAACAAGAAAAAGTCGCATGAAAATACAATCACGTTAAATACTGCAAAAATTGTTAAATATCCATGCCAAGCACAGGTTACTTACCGCTTCACCTCTGATAATGTGGTTTGCTGCATTCAAAACACAAAAGTTGCTTGTTGCACAAGCAGTTGAAATAGAATAATTTGGTCCCATCCATCCCTGATTTAGTTATCACCACAAAAGAAAGATCAATACTAAATTCTGGAGGTCATCACTAATATTCTATAACATTTGAATTGAATCTGACCAGATCCATGGCAAGCATAGCAGAACCCATGTTTGTTGTAGCAAAAGGTACACAAAAAGGATTCATCTTCCGGTAAGAGATCCTCAAAGCTTCAATTGCATCATTAAAGACCTGCCTCGAGATAAATCGTTTAGGAAACCCAACAATCAGCAATACACTTCATAATCTCAAATTATATCTTTTCTGACCATCTGTTGTGGAAAACATGGCTAACAATCATCTAAACATACAACCCTCAGGCCAAAACTATTGCTATATTTTCTTTTTACATGTTCAAACCAGAAAACAGGGAGGTACCTTCATGCCTCCCATAGCAGAGCCAATCAAAACTCCACATTTGGTTTTGTCTAATTCCGCCATTACATCTTCAGTTATCCCACCATCGACCAGTGCTTTCTTGCCAGCAGTTAGAAGATAAAGCATGAACTTGTCCATCCTCTTTGAAAGTTTCGGGGCAACCCATCCTTCGGATGAAAAATCTTTGATCTCTCCAGCTATTCTCTAGGCAAACCAAAAAAACAAACAACCAAATCAAAGTACAATCCACAACAGCACAAGAAATTCATTGCAACAGATGCTATAATGATGGTTACCGTTGGAAATTCAGAACAATCGAAATTCTCAATCTGGCTAATACCACTGATACCTTCCAGCAAATTCTCGTAAAAAGTGTTCGGATCATGACCTAATGACGTTGCAACTCCCATACCCGTCACAACTACCCGTCGCTGCTCTGTAGGAGGTTTCTTTTCAGCCATGGATTCCTTTTCCAGCTGCACCATGCCTGCCATGACTTTACCTAGAAATCACAAACCATGACATTGATGAAAAACTTTAATCAGTTAAAATTCAGAAACAATTGCAAGAAAACCAAAACTATTAGCAACTTCCAAAATTTGTACACATAGCATTTCAAATCTTAGTTTAAAAAAGCGCGCCTTTGCGCTGAAGCGCAGATGCAAGATGGAAATCGCCTCCAGCCTTAGATGCGAAGCGAAGTCCAAGATGTGTCCCTAGGCATGCCTCGGTTGTTTAGACCTTTGGCACCTCGGGACACCTCGCCCTTTTTTAAACTAAGTTTCAAATTCACTCTGTTCATTGGATTAATTCATATCGAACTCTATATCCTCATGAAGAGTTACAATATCATGCATAATCTCATACAATTTACTTAGGATGAAACTTAAACTAATGAACTTCTTAGATATTATTAATCCAAAAGGGAAGTCAATTCCATATTTTTCCCACTTCACATTTCAGCTAAAACTACGAGTTAGCTGCATTTGCATTAAATTTTTCTTCTAATTTCATCAATGTTCCAATAAAATCAATATAGATAATAACAACGAACAAAAACCCAAACTTGAGTAGCTAAACCGGTGAAATGAGGCGCAAAGCTCTGAACCACCCGAGTACGAACCTCAAGTTTAGAGAGAGGGCATATAATCCAAATCACATGGCTAGCTCCCGCTCTCGGATTAGTTTGGACCAAAGTCCACGATACCGGTTACCAAAAAAAACAATTTTCGAAACAAAAAACTTGGACAATTCATAAATCCTCCAAGCAGAGGACGAAAGAAGGAACCCCCATATCATAGGAACCGGGAAAAAACAAACTAAGCTCATCACATTGCAAACAATGCCCAGAAATCAAAATTGATATAAATTACCATATTGGAAACACGGGGAAGAAAAAACAGATTCCCGAGATAAAAATTTATACCGGAGCGGGATGCTTGATTCAATCTCGTCCGCTTCCGATTCAAAGAAATGTTATACGATCCAAACAAAGACAACAAGGCATTGTCGTTGGAGTGCTGGTTACACGGTCCGAAGGCCAAACAGGAGCTCATTAACGCCTGAATGCCGGCGGATCCATGGCCTCCGACGGAAACTGAAGCGGCAGTGTATTTGGAGAGCAGTTTTTTCCGGCGAGCCCAGCGGCGGCTACTCCGACATTCGGCATAGCGGTCTCCGCCGCCGTACGTCGTGACGGACATGCAAGCTGCGACGAGCCACGTGCATAACGGAGACGCGTAACAGAGAGACGACGAACCAACCATGGAAACCAAACGCGGGGAGCTCAAATCGAAGAACACCCAGATGGAGGAAAAACGAGAAATGGGTGGTGTGAGGCTGAGAATCTAGCAGACGTACATGGGTTTCGAGAGAGCTTAAGGGGAATCGCTCTCTCTCCCTCTCTCCCTGGGCGCGTGTGGAGTGTCTGGATGCGTAAATTCGTGCGTCAAGATGCCAAGTCCGTTCTGTGAACAACAGCGACTAACAAGTGAGGGATGGGAAGCGAACTCTAAATAAAAACAAAAAATAGTTAATAAAATCAAACCAATAATTACAAAAATATCAACGACCAGAAAAATTACTTTATTTTTATTTTATGATTATATCATATTCTTATTTTTATTTCCCTCTTACGGAAAAATAAAAAGCTGTATATTATAATATCATTATCTATAATAAAGTATAAATATACACACACACCATTTTAGATTTCGATTCTATTTCGTTTAGGTTATATCCGAATTCAGTTATTTCAACTATATAAAAATTGTTCTGATTTGATTTTTCATCGTTATAAAACTCAATTTTTTCAAAAAATTATCGATTTTTTCGGTTATTTTTATTCGATTCAACTCAGTTTAAATTAATTTTTTTTAAGTTTAAAAAAATTATAATCGTTCAGTTTTGATGATAGATTCAATTCCATTGAATACGTTATATCGCATTCGATTCGATATGATTAATAATAAAAAAATGTGAAAGAGGTATACATATTTTTTGTCGAAATTATATACATTACATTTTATCGACATTAAATACATAAATGCGTATAAAATAAAACTGCATACAATTTTTTTTTGTCGGGCATTAGATACATAAATGCGTGTATATAGATTTTGCCGCCTCGGTTTGATCGAACTCAGCTAACATGCCCTCACTTGCTTTGTTGACCAGTGTGTGCAAAAAGGGACAAATAAATATATGTCCCTATTCCACGAGTCGTGTCGTGTTTGCGTTAATATTTAATACATTTTGATTAATTTTATTAAGTATTTTATTTATTTACTTTTTACTTCATTACCGATTTCTATTAAGTTTTTTTAGGTAACCGATTGTCACTATACTAATTTCGGGTCGGAATCGGATGCCAATTTTAGATGATTTGGAATATATATCCTTTCTCCAAATTTAAGGTTTGAATTTGGACGGAACAAAAATTTCGAATCTTTTGGATGATTTTTATTAAATTTATTATGATATCAAATTACGTGAACAACTAAAAACTTAGTAATAGTTTTGAATTCTTAAATTCGTATAAAACTAAACAAATCAAATTTATTTTTAAACTATATAGTTCTACCACAACATAAATTATACTATATAAAAATCATTAACAACTCGGTTTCTCAGAATTTCTTGAACCATGTGACTAAGAGTGACCATCTACGAGATGGGAGTTTCGGAATTCAAAAATTTGTATCAAATTTGGGAGCAACCTTTCTTTGGTTGGACACCTATTGTGGAAAAACAACCAAATCATAAAAAACATGCTTTTTTTTTATAAAAGGTAAATGTATATTAATAAAAATAGTTCGTGTACATAACCGGATACGACCGAATACCCTACAAAATGAATATTCATGTGTCTCTAACTAGACACCATATCAGTCAATAAAAAATAAAAAAGCATGTTTAATTAGGAGTGTCGTGTGTTTATGCCGTACTAATCGATACCAAGGTATCCGGATGTTGTGGTTGTCAAAGCTTCGCCATATATCCATGGCGATGAATTTGTCCCCTGCCTTGCCTTTGACTAGCCATAGATATTTGTCACTGAGGGAGATATACAGTCGCTAGATGTGCCAGAGGCTGGAGTTGTCGGTCGGCACGAGGATCAGCTACCTGCCAATATCCATGCTGAGAGACCTGAAAATGCATTCTCATGTATTCCTAGCCGCTTCGAACCCGTGGAGCCGTGGGCCAAAAGGTAGTCCAGTTCTCAAAGCAAAACAATGTGTTCTTCCCGTTCCCAAGGGGTGGCCGGAAACGGTTCGGGATGAAAATTCGGTTTTATAAAAATAGACATCGATCCTTTTTTATATTATGTTCGGTTCGGTTTGCGTTTTTATAAAAAAAAAAAGATTTCTTTTTAAAAAAATCGGTTCAGAAAAATTCGATTTTCTAAAAATAATACCGTTCGAAAATTTAGAACGGTTCGGATCGAAAAAAATACCATATTTTTTTTAAAATTTTTAATTTTTAATTTGTTGAGATGAATCTAACGTGATATCTAAATCAATATTACTAATTCTTGTCTATGTGACAATTTATCAGTCTATTATTTTAAACAAATTACCCATGAAACATGAAACATATCCAATATATGGTGATCTATATCCAATACACATAATTATTTCCATGATCCAGGATAACAATCGATCATAAAATTTAGAGTCGTTTAAATCACGAAATAGTTTTTATTATATAATAAATATACAAATTAAATAATGGGCAAAATATAGTTATCCAATGAAAATCGTTACAAATATATAGGTTCTTTTATAATGAATCGTTATAGAACACGTAAACATGTATATATATATGTCAATATGTATTTATTTTATTTTTGAGTTTTTAAATTTTAAATTTTAAGTTTCTTTATTTTTTGAATTTCTCGAGGTGAATCTGTAGAAATTTTGTTTAAACGAATATAAAGTTTTAAATGGAAAATAATGATAAGTTTTTTTATTTCTATAGAGTTTTAAATCCCCTCCGATACTAAATTTGGGGTGTTTCCTTCTGTTCTTACAACGTAAATTCGTATTTTCTGAAATAAAAAACTTGCAATTTCATTTTTTTCTTCTTTGACAAACGTTGTGATTGTCTGAAACTCAAATTGGAAAAAAATAGGGTTTGTCATTGAGGCTGAATCATCAATCAAGTTGCAATTTTTTTAATGGGTTGTTATGAAGGTCAACAATCAATAAATACACATATAGGGGAGACGAGTTTGACGTAAAAGAGGAGGAGAACGTGTGGAAATCGAGGGGAGATGGAGGCGGCGGAGGAGAAGGGTTTGCTGGTGAGAGACGGCGGGGAAAGCTGCAGAGATGGGTTTTGGCGGGAGGTGAGGAGGCTGAGTTATCTCGCGGGTCCGATGATCGCCGTCAATTCCTCAATGTATTTCCTGCAAGTCATCTCCATAATGATGGTGGGTCATCTCGGAGAGCTCTTCCTCTCGAGCACCGCCATCGCCGTCTCCTTCTGCAGTGTCACCGGCTTCAGCCTCGTCGTAAGTCTCTTTGTCTGTCTCCTAGACGATTTTCGGATCAAGGGTACGCGCATTGTTCTATGGCGTTTACTGAATCTTGTGATTGATCCCGTGAACAGTATGGATTGGCCAGTGCTCTGGAGACTTTATGTGGCCAAGCCTTTGGAGCCAAACAATACGAAAGACTTGGGATTCACACGTACACTGCTATTCTCTCCCTTTTCCTTGTGTGTGTTCCCGTGTCTCTCCTTTGGAGCCACATGGGTGAGATACTCTCTCTCATTGGCCAAGACCCCTTGATTTCCGGGGAAGCCAGGAAGTTCGCCATTTGGCTCATCCCTGGGCTGTTCGGGTATGCCACCATGCAGCCACTGGTTCGTTTCTTCCAAGCCCAGAGCCTGATATTTCCCCTGATTGTGAGCTCGTGCTCCACCCTCTGTTGCCACATTCTCCTCTGCTGGACCTTAGTGTTCAAGTTTGAGCTTGGAAACGTCGGAGCTGCTGTGGCTATCGGCGTTTCTTACTGGCTTAATGTTTCTGTGCTTGGATTATACATGATGTTCTCCTCCAGCTGCAGCAAGAGCCGTGCCCCCATCTCCATGCGTGTGTTTGAAGGGATGAGAGAATTTTTCCGCTTTGGAATCCCATCTGCCTCCATGATATGGTAAACTCCTACATCTTTATTGCTTTCTGTACTTCTGCCAAGCCCTACACTGACTGACTGGATATGTTGTTGTTGTTCTTTTGTGTTAAATAGCCTTGAGTGGTGGTCCTTTGAGTTTCTCGTCATGATGTCAGGATTTTTACCAAATCCCAAGCTGGAGACTTCTGTCCTTTCCGTGTGGTATGCCATAACCCCGACAGTTTTGTAACCTTCTGGCCCGTGTTTTAGTATTGGATATTGCCAACCATTGCATTCTTGTTTGAAACAGTCTATCAACCATCTCCACTCTGTACCAAATATCTGACAGTCTGGGTGCTGCAGCGAGGTTCTGATATACTAACTAAGCTTTTGCATTCCCCGTTTCTGCTAGTGAAAGCTACCCAAAACCCGTCGCCCCTAACGTTTTTTCTCTGTCTTTCTTGTTTTAGTACAAGAGTTGCAAACGAATTAGGAGCCGGAAAACCAGAACGAGCTCGTATGGCTGTCTATACTGTAATGGTTATGACTGCCGTAGTGGCATTAGTGGTGAGTGGAACCCTCTTTGCCGGGAGAAACGTGTTTGGTTTCCTGTTCAGCTCGGAGACGGAAGTCGTGGATTATGTGAGGAGAATGGCTCCTCTGGTGAGCATATCGGTTGTATTCGATGCCCTTCATGCAGTTCTTTCAGGTCTCTCTCTCCCCCTCCCCCCGTGCTTAACGCCTTACATGGAAATGGTCCGGAGTTGGACCACCTGACGAGAAGCGTATGTGGGTCATTTTTTGTATCGAAACAGGTGTTGCTAGGGGATCAGGGTGGCAGGATCTCGGAGCATTGATTAACCTCGCTGCATACTATCTTTGTGGCATACCGATTGCAGTAGTGTTAGGCTTCGGGATGAAGCTGAGAGGTAGAGGCCTCTGGATCGGGATAACAGCCGGTTCTTTCCTCCAGGCCGCTTTGCTCGCCCTCATAGCTTGTCTCACCAACTGGAAAGAACAGGTATGTTAAGGATCTTTACCTTGGGTAGAATTGCGTTTGCAGAGAGAGAAAAGCCGAACCGACGGCTTATACCTCCATGGAATGTGCAGGCGAGAAAGGCAAGAGAGCGGCTGATGACGGGGACGGAGGAGATTGAAGACAAAGAAGATGAACCAGAGACCACCTAAATGAAGATTATTACATCATCGATTACAGCCACCATGGCCCATTCCAATGCTCTGTTGAATCCACGGTTACTTGAGCCCGATCCGAGCCACGGAAGAAGTACGGCCTAATCATTTTCCTTGTTAATAGGAACACTATTATGTTGTCTGAACGTTCAAAAAGGTGTGCGTCTATGGATTCATCATTGCTTCAGACCTGCTGAAGCACTCGTTTTTGATAGATGTGGGGCCGGTTCGTCCACTATTATTGGTATTGTCGAATTTTATTCATTCTAGAGTTTGGTTTTCAATTCATTGGCCAAAAAGTTATTTTTTGAATAAAGGTTTTGTTTTGGTTCCACTTTTAGTATATGTGCATATATATGTATGTATATATACATATACGTGTATGTTATATATATGTATACATAAACATATATACATACTTATCTATATACATGTATGTATATATATATATATATATAATAAAACATAATCGAATTCGGGTAGGCCGTTCGTCCTGAATCCGTAATTTGGCCGATCCGATCCGATAGGCCATTGGGGTGTCAAATTTGTAGGTCTAAACCTGCAAATTTATCGGGTGGGTTTGGATCCGATAAAGATGCGTCCGTGTTTCCGTTGAATTTTTAATGAAATAGCTTAGAGTTTGTTTGGTTTTATTTCACGAATTGTAAAGTTTGTGTATGTTTTAAAAGTTATGATATTATTGCGATAATACCAAAATCACATAATAAATGGATCCAAGTGATATCGGAAAGAAAAACTTATAAACGGAAAGAATCAAATATGTTCAGAAAATAAAACATATACGGGATCACTCCTTAATGTGAGGAGCAAGAGATTGGGACGACAGCAGCATCAGATGTCCGTTTTCAGCTTGCTATAGACTTCAGAATCACAGTGAAGAAAAGGGTTTCTCTCATTGGCTTCTGGGTCGTGTCTCTTTGTTCGCATTTGCAAAGAGAAGCTTGCCAACTACCATGGCGGATCGTAGAGACAGGGGCCAACAAGTACGCGGGTCTCGAATCATGATCGGCATCCTGATCGGTGTCCTTGGTGGGTGCGTTTGCGCCACGATGCTCCCGCATGGATTCTTCAACTCGGGTTCAACGCTCGCACTCAACGGTCGCCTCACAACGTCGAGCATTCAGGTTCATCGCTAGTCTTTGATTGGTGCCCTCTATTTCAAATGTTCTGCCCAAACGACTTGTAGGGATTGTAGGTATTGAATCGATTCCCGTAGAATCCGTCTGCATGTTTATATTGGGTTTGAGAAACTCGTAGATGGTAAATGACGCCCTTCTACTTGATGCAAGTTGCGACAGTTCAAATGTGAAATGTCACGTCTTTTGTGATATCAGCGGCTGCAACCATAAAGCAAGATTTCTTGGGTGGTGTCGGATGGTTCATTATTTTTATAAACGTTGAGTTCTTGCCCGAATGTTATTCCAGTCATCAGCTTTGTATTTTGGTTTTCGGTCAGGCTGGATCATCGTCATGTGAATCGCCCGAACGGATGAAAATGCTCAGGACAGACTTTGTAGTTCTCTCGGAAAAGAATGCCGAGTTGAAGCAGCGGGTCAGAGAGCTATTGTAGGATTTAGTTCGT